CCTTGCAGCCCAGGAATAAATCCAACTTGGTCGTGGTGAATAATCCTTTTAATGTACTGTTGGATTCTATTACTAGTATCTTGGTGAGAATTTTTGCATCCATGTTCATCAGGGATATTGGTCCATAATTCTCCTTTTTATTGTGGTCTTTATCTGGTTTGGGGATCAAGGTAATCCTGGCTTCATAGAATGAGTTCGAAAAATTTCTATTTTTTGAAAAAGTTTCAGAAGGATAGGTATTAATTCTTCTTTAAATGTTTGGTAGAATTCTGCTGGGAGACCATTTGGCCCTTGACTCTTGTTTGTTGGGAGATTTTTGATTACTGATTCAGTTTCCTCACAAAGGAAATTTTGTTCTCAAGCTGCCCACCAGTCTTAAGATCTCAGCAGACAGCTCTCCTCTGCCCCCTAGTGTCGTCTCTGCACATTGCACATGTACAGTTCCTTTTCTTTCTCAAGGCCTTGGTCAGCCTCTGTGGATCAACTCCAGTTTGTCTAGGTCCCTCTGCGTGGGTCTTACCTGGGGTCTCTCTCAACAGGCAGAACCAGAGGGGCTTACCCATTCTATACCTATTCCTACAGCTGTTTCCATTCACTGTTTTCTTACTGATTGACATCTTGTGGGTGAAGGCTGAGGTCTAAATTATTTCACAGGTGCTGTTTGCATTTTTCTAGCAATTCATTTAGCTTAACAGACTCATTCTACCACTGATTTTTAGTACTAACTTTAATAAAGACCCTGGGGACTGGGGCGCCTGGGTGGCTCAGTCGTTAAGCAGCTGCCTTCGGCTCAGGTCATGATCCCAGAGTCCTGGGATTGAGCCCCGCATCGGGATCCCTGCTTGGCGGGAGGCCTGCTTCTCCCTCTCCCACTCCCCCTGCTTGTGTTCCCTTTCTCGCTGTGTCTCTCTCTGTCAAATAAATAAATAAAATCTTTAAAAAAAAAAAAAAAAATCTTTAAAAAAAAAAAAAAAGACCCTGGGGACTGAGATATCTAATTGACTATATCTTGTAGAGGCAAGGAGCCATGGTTCTGACATGAACTAGACCTTGTACAAATCATTACTCTATCTCCTCCCACTGGGTGACCCTGGGCATGTCACTTAATGTCTCAGAGCTTTGATTTATTTATCTGTAAACTACTTCACAAGTGGAGATAAAATGAGATCATTCATGTAGTGTTTAGTACAGAAAGTGCTCAAAATAGCAGTTATTTCTTTATTAATTTAATAAATGTCCATTAAGCATCTAAAATGCCCCCATCTGGGAAAACAACCCTGAATAAAATAATCGTGCAAGTATATACTTACAAACCATGAGAAATGCTCAGCTGGGAGAACTCGCTGGTTTCCATAAAGATACAGGCCGGCTGGAATGGGGAGGAGGAGCAGGAGTGGTCGGAGAGGGCATCCAAAGGGAAGTGTTGTTTGAGCTAAGGATTGGAGGGTCATGGAGAATTAGCTCAGTGACAGAGTAGAGAAGAAGGGCATTCCAGGCAAGGTGAACAGCTTGTGAAAAGGCCTGGCAATGAGCGGGAACATAGCATTTTTGAGAAGCTGAAAGCAGGCCTCTGTAGTGTGAGTGCAGGTAGAAGGAGAGTGGTCTAGACAGGGTTTCAGGGGATGGGTCTCTCCCCTAAAGGTGGTGGGAAGCTATTGAAAGTTCAGTATTCAAGGTGTGGGTGGGTGGATGGGTGTGGCATCAGTAAATCATGTTCAGAGCTCACCCTGCTTTTGAAGTGCGGAGCAGATTGAAAGGGGAGAGGCTGCGGGCACCGCTGGGCAGCTCTTGCAGGAGGATAGGCAAGGCAGCTGGTAGCCTGGACTAAGAGGCAGGGGTGGACGTAGAATGGAGGCGACAGAATCAAGAGACATTTAAAGAAAAATTGAGCAGCCTCACTGAAGGATTGGATGAAGGCAGAAAGAGGGAAAGGGAGACAACATGGGGGACTCCTGGGTTTCTTTCTACACACCTGGATGGATAGTGGCTCCTTTCACTGAGGTACCTGATTCTATTATTCAACCTCCTAGGGAGTATACCAGACACTGGAGGGAAGAGAATGGGAGAAGAAGAGAGGAATGAGAGGCATGAGACATCTTTTACCTGGGTGGAGCTGCCATAGTTATCACTTTGCAGAGTGGCTGGGTGGATTTGGGTACAACGGTGCTGACTAGCCAGCTGTTGTGTTATTCTCTCCTTGATGTAGACACGTCCCTGTGGAGAGATCCATTCTGCAGTCAACGGAAGCTACACTTCCCTGGTCAAATCCCTGCAAGCCCATCATTTTAAGCTGTCCCATCACAAAGAGCAGGGGCCATGGGTGGGTGGGTAGGGGATTAGGCTAAGAAGACAGTGAGTTGGGGTGGGGTGTGGTCAGGCCCTGGCATAGGAGTCAGGGAACTGCTATTCTTCTGAGTAGGTGTGTTGTGTGGGTCAAGTCTTGACTGAGTCTTTGCTGCCTTCTCTAGGGGACCATGATCCTGACCAATCTGACTGCACTGCACAGGGACCCTGCAGAATGGGCCACCCCCGACACTTTCAATCCGGAGCATTTCCTGGAGAATGGACAGTTTAAGAAAAAGGAAACCTTTCTGCCTTTCTCAGTAGGTGAGTTCTAACTAATAGGAGTGTCAGAATCCTGAGTCCCTCTCTTAGCCCTCCCCCTAGTCTTCTCCCTGCTATACATGCTACACAGAGCCCACACTGTGGAATACATGATAGTCTGCTTATCATTAACTTAAAAATAAATATAGATTAGTTTTCTGATCCACTATCATTTTGCTGATGACACTAAGGCTCAGAAGGGGAGGAACTGGAATTTGATGACCTGAAGCCCAAGAAGCACACCGCCCTGAAAGTATCTGGGCTGATTCTGATTAGATCTTCTTTGTTTTACCTTCACTTCATTCTATGTCATCGTTGTTCACATTGGACAAGTCCCTTCAAATAGGAAAGCTGCTATGAGACGTAGGAATACCTTCCAGTCTTCTGTCTACAGTAGCTTCAAGTTTTGTATTTCAGTACCAAGTCCCAGCCATATATTTCAAGGATTATAATTTTTCTTGCCTCACTGGGTGCTTTGCTATTGAGAATTTTATCATACTCTCTTAATTACAGACTTCATTTGCAAGCACATTATCTCATTTAATCTTTGCAGCAACCCAGTTATTAATAATTAGACAGGAAAGTGATCAGTATTTCCATTCTTAATATAAGGAAACTAAGAATAAGAGAGTTGTTTCTTATCCGAGATCCTGCGCTCAAGGAATTGGCAGAACAGGGCCTAAGACTCAAGGCTTTATACTTCTAGTCTACTGCTCTCTTTACCACAACTAGAATGTAACTCATCTTCCCACTTAAAGGCCCTTCCACTTTGATTCAGAATTCATTCCATAGGCATCAGTTAGCATATGCATGCATAACGGTCAGTCCAAAAACTCCGTGGTGTAGAGCACTATTATTGCTTACAAGTCTATAGTTCAGCTACAGGTAGCTCTGCTGGTCTTAGCTGGGCTTGTTTATGTGTTTGGGAGGTCAGCTGGTTGAAAAGCTGATCTAGGATGACTCCAGCTGGAACAACAAAGCTTTCCACATTCTCTCTCACCCTCTAGCAAACTAGTCTGGTTTGTTTACTTGTTAGTGTTAAGATCCCAAGAGAGAGAATGGAAACACACAATGTCTCTTAAGGCTCAGGCTGCAAACTGACATTCTGTTACTTCCACTGCATTCTGTTGGCCCCTGCAAGTCGTAAGGTCAGACCCAATTAAGGGAGGGGAAAATACTGTAATTTTTGGTGGGAAAGGGTATGAAGTCACGTTGCAAATGATGTGGGCACGCGGAGAAGAGGGGAATTGGGCACGCGGAGAAGAGGGGAATTGGAGCTGTTTTTGCAGTCAGTCTTATCTCTGTGATTGAGAAGAATGAAATTCAAAGAAGGCAAACAATTTGGGGATTCCCACAGGAGGTGTGACAGAATGAGGATTAGTTAAACAGAAGAAATAGAAATCTAAAAAATCCAATGAGTTAAGAAAATGTCAACACACTGTTTTTTTCCCACCCCACTCCCATCTTTGGCACACAGTTGCTTTTCCTTGTTCTTGGTCTAGCACCTTCTGAAGACAGCCTCCCTGAAAGAATGAGATATGGACGGCTCCTTCTCTTTTCTTGGGAAAAGAATACCATGTGTGAAATCACTAGTTCTGCATAGCCAGGGCGTATTGTGAAGCTATTATTGCAAATTTATTATTTTCTTTTCCTCACTGAAGTCCTTCCAGGTTGACCTGACACAGCAGCAGGCAGCTTTATGAAAGGCAAGAGTTTGGTTCCTTATTTTTCAAATAAAATCATTCAGTCATAGAGGATGAGGTTAGGAAGAACTTATCCCAAAATACCTAGGTCATTTCTCTCATTTTACCAATGAAGAATTGACCTTGTTAGATGGTGATAGCCAGGTGGTGGGAGTACCAAGAAGACACCAGTTTCCTGTGATCCAGGTGGAAGCTTAGAAAACAAGTAGTCCTCATTTTCATGCTTTGAATAGTAAATTCCTACTTGTCATCTTCTTGGTATCATTACCCAGCCGGCCACATGAATCAGTTCGAAGAGAGATTATTTCATGGATTTGACAGGTGGGAAAAATTTAGCTCTATAAGATGAGTTTGTTCACTACCCACAGCTGTTACTGATGGAACCAGTACTTTAACCCTGGTTCCTGACGCTCTGGGTCCAGTTTTGTCATCATACATGGATTCTTCTAGGAGAATCTTAGTATTTACGGGACAGCCAACTAGGTACCATTTTAACAAATTTCCTCATCATGCTATGTGTGATGGGTAAAGAGATAAACACGGAGGGAACGGAGATGAATGAGACACATGCTGGTAGGAAACACAGGCCCCCAAAAAAGTAATAGCAGCATAATTGTGCAGCACGTTTACTAAACACTTCTGCAGGTGTTACCTAATTTTACTTCCTCAACAGCCCCTTATAGGCAAAGGACAAAATGGAGGCATGCATACATTAATGAGTTTTCAAGGGTATTTAATTACAAGGGAAAATACAAAGTAACATGCAGCACACAGAATTAACTACAGAGAATTATACCAGTTACAGTGTCCAGGGGAATCCCCACAAGGACAGTGAGGAAATATGTCAGAATGTTAACAAGGGCTCTTGTCTGGAATTACAACCATCTTTTACATTTTTTATTGTCTTCTTTATGCTTTTCTTTTTCACGCATTTTTTTAAAAAAATGTCTGCCAGTGAATACGTATTACTTAGGGAGAAAGTAAGTTATCACAGCACACACACGAAAGAGATGGTGGTAGTGAAACTGTGGGAGGTTGTTGCAAGGGAGGGAATAATAGAAGCCTAGGGCAGATGTCAGAGCACAAGTGAGATGAGGTGGGGTCTGCACAGGTTGGCTGTGGCAGTGATGAGAGAGAAGTTATATACAAGGGATACTGATCCAATAAGCAAACCCACTGACGATAATGGGAGGAAGTTACAAATAGGGAAAGAGAGAAGATAAAATGAACTCTGTGGTGTTGAATTGGAATCAGAGGTTATCAATATGACCTCAGACTTCTGATAGGTAGGTAGGTATAGAAATAAATATAGACATAAACATGGATGCATATATATAATTTAAATATATTCTCACATTATATACATACAGATCCCCCAGTCTAGCCACTGATTCACTGAGAGCAACACTACCCTGATATCAACAAGCATGTCAAATGCCCAGATCTTGGTTTCTAGATATCATTACCCACTGAAAGGAATTTAGACTTCTAGAAAGACAGGTGATTCTAGGGTTGGGGAAGGGAAAGTGTAAGATGAGCCTGAAACACACTGTTGTGCCCAAAAGTTAAGGAAATACCAGCTTGAATGGGCATCTAATGGCCAAATCTGGAATATCTTGAGCATCAAAACAAATAATAATAACAATTTATAACCCTTTGAATAAAAATAGGAATCTCTGAACTCATACTGATCTAAATAAATGAGTGGGAAAACGGGGATGAGAGAAAGCATTTCCTTTAGTAGAATTCTAGCTAAAAGATGTGGAAGGAATGATGGAATTTTAAAGCTCACGATTTGGCAACCATCAGAGTAATAAATAATTTAGCCAAGAAATAGCAATGGAAACTGGTGGATGAAAAGTCAATGGGGAATGGTTTATTAACATAGTCCTAAAGTATTTATTAGTTACAAAGAGAAGAAGAATCATTTTACAGGGGAGAATTTGGTAGACACCACCTTAATCAAGTGATCAAAGTTAACATCACCAAAAATGGGACAAATCAAAATTGTGTACCACCCAATAGGATGAAATGAGAGCACAGCCTCACTTTGGTGCTATTTCTCTCAGAAATGCATGACCTCCCAATCTGAATCTAATCATGAGGAAACATGAGAGGCATTTATCAAGTAATTTGTCATCTTCAAAAAAGCCAGTCATATAGACCTGGTGTGGATACACACACACACACACACACACACACACACACACACACAATGGAATAGTATTCAGCCATAAAAAAAAGAATGGAATCTTGCCATTTGCAACAGCATGGATGGAGCTAGAGAGTATTATGCTAAATGAAATAAGTTAGTCAGAGAAAGACAAATACCATATGATTTCACTCATATGTGGAATTTAAGAAACAAAACAAATGAGCAAAGGGAAAAAAGAGAAGCAAACCAAGAAACAGACTCTTAACTAAAGAGAACAAACTCATGGCTACCAGAGGGGAGGGGGGTGGGAGGATGAGTGAAATAGTTGATGGGGATTAAGGAGTACACTTGTGTGATGAGCACCGAGTAACGTGTAGAATTGTTGAATCACTATATTGTACATCTGAAACTAATATAAAACTGTATGGAATTAAAATGAAAAGCTCAGGAAAAAAAAAAAAAAGCCAGTCATGGAAGCTGAGGAGTCACTTGCATGACAGCCAAATGCAACAGTTGATACTCAACTGGTCCTTTTCCAATAAAGGGCATTATTGGGACAACTGGTAAAACCTAATTGAGGATCTCGGGGGTGAAGTGATGGTAATGCATCAATGTTTTCCTGAATTGGTGGTTATATTGTAGTTATGTTGGAGAATGTCCTTGCTTTTAGGAAATACATACTAAAGATTTCATAGGTAATGTAGACAGTGTACTTCCAAATAAATAACTCAGAAGAAACAAGTTCTATGTATTATTCTTACAAGTCTTTTGTACTTTGAAAGTATTTCAGAATAAAATGCATGATATGGAAAGTATCACAGTGAAGAACTGTGATATACAGAAAGCTATTTTAGTAATGCTGCCACTGAAAACATTTTATTTAAAGGTAGTCTTTTAAATTTTATTCTTCCATTTTTTGAGAATTAACTAGATGAAGTTAATGCTAAGCTATTTTATAGCTAGAATGTTTATTATTATTCAGGTAATGTGTTAAAATACTTTGTTTTGCTATTTAAGTTATTAAATTCTTTGGTCTATTTGGATTCAGTGTGTAGCCCACACAATATATAAAATAAGGTTCCCATTTTATTTTTAGGGTTTTTTTTTTTTTTAAGGAGTAGGGGACAGAGGGAGAGAGAGAGAATCTTAAGCAGACTCCACACCCAGCACAGAGCCCAACACCAGGCTCGATCTCATGACCCTGAGATCATGACCTGAGCCAAAATCAGGAGTCAGACACTTAACTGACTGAGCCACCCAGGAGCCCCTAAAATAAGGTTCCCATTTTAAACACACGCTCACACACACACTTCCCATGATGCCCAAATCACATGGCTAGAAAGTGAGAGGATTCGAATTGGATCTCCCTTCTGCCTCCAGTTCCTCCCTCACATAACAGGGAGCGGGATTTGGCTAGGATGGTGCCAACTGTGGGCGAACGGATGCAGCAAGGGCCCCACTGCGGGAAGGACTGCTGTGTGTAAGACTATTCAAGCAGAGAGCCTGAGATAATTCCAATGCAGAGGGCCATCCATGGCCGTGAGATCCGCAGTCATTAGGGGGGAAAACATGACATAAGGGAAAGCTATCTTGCATTTTAGAAACCCTGCTCTGACATTTATTGGCTTATATTTTTCTACAGTTTTAAGGAATGAAAAAAAATCAACAGAGTTTTTTGTTTTGCTGTCTAATGTTGTTGTTTGCTGATTGATTTTGAAAAGCCTTTCAGCTATACATCCACTTTTGAGGTCAACCCAGGCCTCCCTCCTCTTTTGTCCTACACCCTGTACCTTCGCCCTTGGGGTCAGCTGTCTGACCCCTGAAAGCATTGGAGTTTTCGAGTCCAGACTTACACTTTGGCCTGGGTAATTGTGAGATTAAATGAGCCTCTGTATGTAAAGCTATGGGGCCTACCAGCCCCTTCTTCTGCTTAGGTCTTGCAAGAAGTTGAAGATGTCGGTCCCGGCTGGGCACCCACACCAGTTGGGAAGATGACTTGTCTTACGCTTTTGTCTTTCAGGAAAGCGGGTATGCCTTGGAGAACAGTTGGCCAAGTCTGAGCTGTTTATTTTCTTCACTTCCCTTGTGCAAAAATTTACCTTCAGGCCCCCCAACAATGAAAAGCTGAGCCTGAAGTTCAGAACGGGCCTCACCATCTCCCCAGTCAACCACCAACTCTGTGCAGTCCCTCGGTCGTGAAGTTGTTGAGAGGGAGAGGAGAAAGGAAAGCAAGAAGTGCCGTGTCCTCTGAAGGCACTGGCGCCTGCTCAGAAAGGAGGGGATGGAATGGAAAGTGACTCTGAGGGACGATCTAAGGAACTGAACTCAGAGGAAGCATGATCCAAATCCCAGCCTTGCTAGCAGATCTTTTATGTTGTGAATGATTTACCTTTTCATCCAAGAGATGAAAAGCAGATAATGATTCCTCCTCTAAAGGAATAGCTGCTGTGAGAATCAGAGGGAATAATGGACTTTGAGTGGTTTGGGAAACCATACAGCTTATCATAAAAATTTTAGCTGAAATCGGCGTCTTTCCTGCTTGCTTCTTTAGAGGTGGTTTTGCTTCTAGCCTGTGGAGGTGGCTCAGGTCACAGTGGTGCCAAATGATTGATAAGAGTTAGAATTTGGACGCTGGGGCAGCCAGAGGCTGACCACAAATGCTCTCACACTTGGTGGCACTATGCAGGCTTTATTTTGCTCCCACCTTAGAATGGCCCTCTGGGAAGTCAGCCAGGCAGCTATCACTCCCTGTTTATATTCAGGTTTCTATGAGAAGGCAGTTTCTGTGGTTTACCTAACCTAAGGAAACACTACCTTGGCTTTGGAATCAGGACCAAGCAGAGTGTGACTACTACCAACTAAACCCGGGGAACAGGTTTGGGAAACAATGTGGAATTATGTTCTGTCCTTAAGGGTACCTCTTTGTCTTAATTCCTCTATCAGGCATCTCTTCTCAAGCTGTTCACATTGGATTTAACTATGGGGTGGAGCTTTTCTTGCAAATAGATGGTCAGATTTTGAATGGTTAAGTGTTACCAGCCTAAATTCAACTGGGCCCTGGTGCAATATTTTATAGTAGGGAGCCAGAAATGCCAGAATCCTGCCCAATCCTTCTGCATGTACTTGCTGAGGGGAGACAATGGCCAGAAAATTGAAGGCCAGGTAACACTGATGGTCCACAGAGTTTTGACGCCAACCCCAATGCAAACAAACACAAAAACACCTGCTAAACTGGACTAAACCATATGGAAGATCTTTTTTCCTAAGGTAGAGACCTTGTGTGCTTCTGCCTGCTCTTCTGGAACTGTGCTACCACCATTTAAACAGGCCCATGTAACTCCAATGGATGATGAGAAATACATGGCCCAGTCATTGCTGTTGCAACCCTAGCTGACATCTGGCTGACCACCAGAGCTGTTCTAAGACCATCTGAGATGAGCTGGACCCAAGCATATCCAGCAGCTGAATGCAAACGCATGAGTGATCCCAGCTGAGATGAGAATTGCCCACCTGAACCCAGCCTAAACTGCCAACCTTAGATTTATGAGTTAAATGGTTATTGTTTTAAGCCACTATGTTTTCAGATGCATTGTTACACAGCAATTGCTAACTAATACATTCCTTGAGGGCAGGAATGGTATCTTATTCACGAACAGTGCCTGGAACATGATAGGGCTCAAAAAAAAATAGCAAATTAAATAATAAAGTAAGGTAGAACAATTATGGGCTGGTGCTAGATTGGACCTATTACTCCAAATCAGATCTCTGCCACTACCCCTCTGTCCTTGTCACCTCATTCCAATGACCTATTTCTCAGTCCTCATGCCAACTTCTGCATAATCCTTCAGGAACACAGTGGAGGAGTGCAAGCTTGTTCTTACCTCACTGTTCCATTTCTCAGGTGGCTGTTCCATTTCCCAGGTGGCTTTCTGGAATAGGGCCACCTATTCCTTTTCCTCATGCTTACTTCTCAAGAATAGGCTGATGTCCCTGGATGGGTATTTTGTACTATCTGTGTTTTTGTGCATTCACCATGAGTTATGTGTTCTGCTCTGAAAAGCTAAGAACTTTTCCCTCTGCTTTTGAAGCAGATAAGAAATTAAGCAAGAATAAAGGGTCAAATGCAAAGGGCCACTTTCAGGGGCTGGCATGGAGTCATTGATGATGCCGTTGCAACAATCAGGGTCAGAACAGAGGCCTCTCTCAGTCCAAATAGTTCAAAGGTCCAAAAATATCACAGGGCTCTGATGTACGTAAAACAACATTAAAAGATTCAAGGGGGTGGAGGAGTGTAGCACAGAGAGTCAGATGAACTGGGAGGCAGGCCTGAATTCAGTTCCAGGTTTTACCATTTAAACTTCCACCTGTGAATTAAACAGGCTACTTTACTTTCCTGAACTCATATCCTAATCTGTAAAATAGAATTAAATGATACCTACTCTGGTAAATTAGGAAACTGATCAAAAGAGCCACTATCCCTCTCTGGGTCGCCTTTCTTTGTGGTACTCCTCCCGGTGGGACAATTATGTATAATTGCCCTGATACATCCAAGAGTGGCCATGTCAGTTGCTTGATAAAATGAGCAAAAGTTCCACAGATTCAACATGTTTCTTTTTTCTCTGCCATGAGACCAGCAATGTCCCAGATAAAGGTCTGTCAGCCTACAACCAGTTGACAAAGACATAAAGCCGAGTCACAGCTGATTCAAGATGGACATGCAATAAGACAAACCTATTTTTTTGTGAGCCACTAAGACTTTGGGATTGTTGATTATGCAGCATAAGTTATCCTAAACTGTCTGATACATCAGCATTTTAATTGAGAGGACCATACATATTTATGTTTGTAGTTACTGTGAACACCAAATATGCATGTGTGTGTCTCTATATATACTATTATATATATATAATATATACTATATATAAAATGTTACTTTAATACATATTAAACATATAAATTTATATAATATACCATATATATTATATAATTATTATATGTTATATTAAACAAAGTCACAGTGTGTTTGGCATATAATAGATTAAATTGTAGTTGTAATGTTACAGTTATTTTAGACAAAAACTTTAGTTATTTCTACACCTTTTTTCTATACAATTTGATCTTTTCCTCGCTAGGTTCACAGAACAATATATTCTCCCTATTGACTACAGGATCATCATAAATCCTTTGATGGGCTGCCGCACTCTGAAATCCCAGTGTGCCATCACGGGTAGTCTAGGAGAATGGCACCCTCTGCATTTGGACTGTGCACGGCCGTATGTGTGGGCCTGCTCCTTGGCTGGGTGTATGATAATTTTCGTGATCTGAAACTTGCTCACTTCATCAATTACATCTTTTAGTATTTCTGCCAAACAAGTGAACTCCTATCAATTCCCTAGACAGACTAGGTCCTCTGACATCTTCATGTTTTTAGATAAGCAATTTTTTTCCTGTAAGAAGTATCTCATGACACATGGCAGACCCAGCCTAGACGTCAACTCTTCAATGACATTTTTCTTGACTCTCAGCTAGTTGGTTGCTCCCTCCTTCATTCTCTGAGGATTTTATTCAAAAGTTTTCATTTTCTTTATCCATGTAATCTCCCAGTTACACTGAGCTTTTTGGAGGCATTTTGCCTTGCTCACACAGGCTCAGTTCCTAACAGTTTTGGTGCATAGTAGATGCTCAGTAAATGTTTGTTGGACCTATAGGATGGGGGAGAGCAGCCGAGTGACTAAGGCAGAGCAGGGGCACTAAAGGTGCAGGGTGTCAGACATTTCCTGCTGCTATGTAGCAAGTTTCTGAGCTCTATGTGCCTTAACTTCACATTCAAAGACTGTACGCTAAGGTCCCTTCTAGTTCCAGAAATCTGACCTGTGGAGGGATCTTCTGAAATGGCAAAGCAAGGACCCTCAAAAAGCCACTCCTCCATAAAAGCGCTAGAAAACTAACAAAAGTTGTCAAAATTCACATTTCCAGAACTCTGAAAAGTAACCAAAGTCTTGCAACAATCTGAGCATTTAAGGTGGAAAAAAAAATCAAAATAAAAGAGCTGGATCTCAGTAAGAACAGCAAGCTCTGTGGCATTTTAACTTACCCTATTCCCATTCTCTTCTCCCCAGCTCTGCAGTCTCCTTAAAAAGCAGCAACCTCACAGCCGTGGGCCTGAGAAAACCAAGCACCAAGTAACCGCTGGAGGGAGTAGGACGGGTTTGGAGCACCAGACAGCTGTCACTATTTGACCTATCTGGCAGTTCCCTGAAAAGCCCCATTCTCAGGGCTTGTCTTTATTTGACCTGACTCAAAGTTGAGTCTGTGTGAACCACACTGTAAGGCATTTGTTGAAAAACATCGGTAACAATTGTGCAACACACTGCAGTAACCAGGGTGGTGATACCAGTTGGTGCTCACAAGAGGATTAAAAGGGAAAACTGGGGAAGGAGATGTCCATGGGAGCTTCAAACAGCTCTAACATATTTCTGGGAATCTAAAAGGCCAGGCACATGTAAGGATTGTGTGCCTGGCCAGGAAGGACCTGAGAAGGCCCTAATCTCTCATTCTGGCTAAACTTGAGGCTCTGCAGAAGCAGGAAATTAAAGCTAAGACAGAGTTGTAAGCTACTTGCTAGTGTGTCCAAGATGTAACCCAACTCATATGCAGAGCCCTGAGACATTTACTGGTTCAAGGCACTTAAGGAAACCTCTGTCCAAACATGACTGAACGCAGTACTAACAGAGCAGAGCATCCAGTGGCTGCACATGATGGAGAATAGAAATTTTACAGAATTCGTCCCAGAAAGTCACCAAACAAGAAGCAACAAAAACGACAACAGTAACAGTAACAGACCTGGGTGGTTCCTGATTTCCAGAGTTTCCACATCATATCATTTAAAATGTCAAATTTTTAACAAACCAATTATGAACCAGGTAAAGAAATAGCAAACTATGGCCGACACACAGGATACAAAGAAAACAACAGAAATTCCCTGAGGACACCCAGACATTGGATTTATGATACAAAAAACGGGATAAGCTATTTTTTAACAACTTTAAAATATTAATAAATTCTAATTAATATTTATTTCAATTTAAGAGGCTTTAATGAGACATTTTTGTATCTATTTATAGTGTATCACTTGTTTTTATATGTAAGTATGCATTGTGAAAAAAATCACTACAATCAAGCCACATAATTTATCCATCATCTCTATAGTTAACTTTGTGTGGGGGGGAGGGTGGGCAGGGGGTTAAGATCTAGCCTCTTAGAAATTTCAAGTATGAAATGCAATATTGATAACTGTCATCACCATGATGTACATTAGATCTCCAGAACTTATTCATCCCACATAACTGAACCTTTGTACCTTTAACAAATACCACCCCATTTCCCCCACCCTCCAGCCCCTGGGCAACCAGTTTTACTCTCTGTTTTTATGAGTTAGGCATTTTAGATTTCACATTTAAGTGATATCATGCAGTATTTGTCTTTCACTGTCTGTCTTATTTCACTTAGCATGATGTCCTCCAGGTTCACCCTTGTTGCAAACGGCAGTGTTTCCTTCTTTTTTAAAGGCTGAAAAATACTCCTGATTTCTTCTGGTTGCAATAGGAAAGGACTGTCTTCCATTTCTATTAGCCCTTTACTTTCTAGCCTGCTTTATTCTTTCTTATGGATAGCACATAGTCCTAGGTTTTTTAATCCATTCAGCTGCTCTGTATCTTTTGATTGAAAAGCTAAATCAATTTTCATTTAAAATAACTTGATACAGAAGAATTCATTATTACCCTTTTGTTAAATGATTTGTTTTGTAGTTCTTTTCTTCTTCTCTCCTGCTGTCTTCCTTTGTGTATTTTTTTTTTTCTATTGATAGGCTTTGGTTTTGTCCTCATTTTCTTTTATGTAACTTCTGTAAGTATTTTTCTATGAAGCTTACATAAACTATCATAACAGACAATTTCAAGTGGGTAACCTCACTTATTAACAAATCTCTACACTTTAACCTCTTTTCCCCCAACATTTTATGTTAATGATGTCACAATTTACATCTATTTATATTGTGTATCCATTAATATCATTTATAGTTGCTATTAATACTTTGTCATTTACCCACCACTGTAAAGTAATATAGTATTATATTTACCTTGGCCAATGACTTCCATACTTCCTATGCTCTTCTGTTGCTGTTTAGCATTCTTTCATTTCAACTTGAAGAACTCCCTTTAGTATTTCTTTTCAGGCAGGTCTAGTGGTGATGAATTCCTTCAGCTTTTGTTTATCTAACAATCTTTACCACCCCCTTATTTTTGAAGGACAGGTTTGTCAGGATAAGTATTCATGGTTGGCAGGATTTTTTTTTTTTTCTTTCAGCTTTCTGAATATATCATCCCATTCCTTTCTGGACTGTAAGATTTCTGCTGAAAAATCTGCGCATAGTCTTAAGGTAGTTCCCTTGTGTGTAACATGTCATTTTTCTCTTGCTGTTTCAAAATTCTGTCATTCACTTTTGACAATTTGATTATAATGTGTCTTGGTGTGAGTCTCTTTCATCTTATTTGGTATCCTTTGGGCCTCGTGGATCTGGATTTCTATTTTTTCTTCCAGGTTTGGAAAGTTTTCAGATATTATTTCTTCTAATAAGCTTTCCGCCCATTTCTCTTTCTTCCTTCTGGGACTCCCATAATGAGTATCCTCTAAGTCTCATAAACTCTCTTTTTCATTCTTTTTTCTTTTTGCCCATTTTACCAAATGATTTCCAATGACCTTTTAGTTTGTTGATCCTTTCTTCTGCTTAATCTAGTCTGTCACTAAAGCTTATTTTTGAATTTTTCATTTCAGTTATTGTGTTCTTCAACTCTATGATTTCTGTTTGGTACTTTTTAATATTTTCTCTTTGTTGACGTTCTCACTTAGCTCATGCATTGTTCTCCTGACTTCAGTGAACATCTTTATGATCATTATTTTTAATTCTCTGTTAGGTCAATCAGAAATCTCCATTTCATTAGGGTCAGTTTCTGGAGATTTACCTTGTTCTTTTATCTAAAACAGATTTTCCTCTTTCTTTTTTTTTTTTTTTTTGTATTGTATTTTATTTTATTTTTTTAAT